AATTTAAAATTCATCTTAGTCCTACAGCATATAGTTTCTACATTGGTTCTGCATTATTGCCATATTAAACAAAATTAATAAAAAAATAAATAAACATTAACTGTGTATCCAAATCTGTCTGCAGAAACATGAACAGAGAGATTATCATATGTGTTTTGCAATGAAGCTACCAGGCGGCACCTAAATTTGGTGTACAAGTGCTTAAAGCCGAGTAAGAGAGTGGAGGAAATCATTGCTTCAGTTCAGTAGTTCTGCTCCCACACGGATGACAAAGTCAACTAAATGCTGCGTGGTGGAGGTATTCTTGTAAATATAAACATCTCCCAAATGTGCTAGCTTAAAACTGGCATCTTTGAGAAGACACAAGAAAATCAAGTTTGAGATGCTGTCACAACTCTAAGACAAGGCAATTCTTTATCCCTTATTATAATTTTAGAAACATGTAGATTAGTTTTTATTAACATATTTGATATAATCAAATGCAAAAACATTATAAACATGTTAGAATTGTATATTGCCCAGTATTTACTTAAAGTGAAAAGGCAGTGTTCAAGCCCCTTGGATTATAAAATATTGTTGGATTGGATAAAGTGATAGAAAATTAAAAAGACGGGCACCTCACTCTGAGGTCAAACTATTGCACTGTTCATAGGTAGACAAGGAAGATTAGGCAGTTACAAAAATAAAGTACCCAAACCATCCAAAATAACAGATATTATCTGGACAAGCTGCAAACACCAATTTATCCTCATTTATTATAGAAAAACATCTCTCTTGCATCACAAACTGAAGTGCACTCAAGGAACTGAAACTCCCTCAAATTGAAAGTCATCTCTTAAAAAAGGAGAAGCAGTCAGGAGAAAAGTTAAAGAGTCCAGAGATTCTCGGGGACTCTTCATGAACCACACAGTGGAATCATACACAGGGAATTATCCATTGCCTCTAACAGATCTGATCACAGAAAGCATCCACATACATAACACATACATGTGTTCCAAAGCAGACCACAAGCAAATGCAGAGATCTGGGCTACACCCCAGCAATCTGAGACCCAATTAGGTGTCCTTCACTCTTTCTTAGAAAGTAAGACTGAAAATAATCTTAAAATTTTCCAATTCCTTATAGTTTCATTACAATTCATATCGGACTTGCAATCCATAAAAGTTCTTCAAACTGAAAACATTCAAAACATCTGGCTTTGAAAGAGAAACATACACAAACACACATGCACACACAGCTCTTCTGTATTTTTTATATTAAGGAAGGGCTCATATTCTTTCTGCCATCACAACACTAGCTGCAGAAGTCAACTGAATTAATATTTAATAAGAAAAGTTAGCTCATAAGGTATGAAAATTTAGAGAATGGAGACACAGAGTATTTTCATTTGAAAGCTATGCATTCACATTGCTCAGAAGTAGCTGTATTTTAAATGAATATCTCCTTTTGAACTGCCACGTAGGTTAAATTTAAAATTTTCTATTAGATTTTTGTTCATTTTTATGGTGATAAAAAAGCATTCTAATACAGTTTCAGTTGATTTTGTTTAGTAGAATATAAGTCGCTGCAAGATTACTTTGTTTTGCCTTTTTACAAATAAGCTGTTCCTATGAACTACATAAAACTACGTATTTTTAATTCGGATAAAAATGCAGAGTAGACTATTTCCATACTACTAATGTCATTCTTCTCACTCACTCATCCTCACTTGTTCACATAAATCTGCATCACAAGCCCCTATTTCATCACAGAGTACTCTTAATAGCTGTGATTGACTCCCAAAATACCACCTCTTCTGCTCCTGCCTTTCTTTGCTTTTCCACTCCCGAGATCACTCTCTACCCACTCACATTTGACCCAGCATCCCAATATAGCCTTGCTGATCATCTCCGATCACTTAGGATTGCCCACTCCTCACCTACCCTCCTCACGCAGCCTTTCTGTGTTGTCCAATCCATGTCATTCTCAGATTTCCCTGACATTTTCAGGGCTCTCTATACTTATTTAATTTTCATTGTAAATTTTCTCAGCTTCCACATTGAATTTAAATATCTCATGCATTATTTTTTTCTAGCAAAAAGTATCTCTTTCAATTTGTTCTTGGAGAGTACAACAGTAAGAGAAAACCCAGACAGAAGCCTTTACCCTGTCAATGTTTGTTATATCTTTTTTTTCTGCTGACCCTTCTTTCTCCTGCAGTTGAGTATTTTTATTGTGTTTCTGTTTATTAAAAGCCAGTAACTAAGCAGCAAACACATTTCTATAACATTATTGTGGTTTAGGTCTGCTGCTTATGGATCAGTATCTGCTATGTTGTCAACTGGACCCCTATTCAATTACCTCCTGTCAGAATGTGTGTAGTGCCTAATTGCCATAGGAAATCTATTCTTTTGACAAAATAAAGGCACAAACCCAGACATACTGCACTCCTGGATAACATTTGAAAGAGTTTTAGTTGCATTCTGCAACTCATGTTCAGAAATTTCTTTTTGAAGACTTAGTAGACACATTATCTTTTGCTCAAAAATTAACTTAAAAATATGCACTGGAACAAGGTTTTTCAAAAATATATTTATTTAGTAAGCCAGTGCAAGTAAAAAATGTCTTCCATTGCAATGCATTAGTAAATTGTTTTTTTTTTTTTTTCCCCTAAGCATTTGTTCCTATTATGAATTATCTGGTTTTGGAATATCTGCTAAAGAAAACATACTTAATCTGTATGTAATGACTTGGAACAAGAGCGAGCAAGCAGACACTTGAGATCATATAAAAATTCCCAAACATTCAAGTATGAAGAAGAAAAAAACCCAAACATTCAAGTATGGAAAGAGACACACTATTTTGTGCTTTTAGAACAGAAGTGCTCCTGTTTACCTCCCTCCTCTGTATTCTGCTTTGAAAGGAAAACCAAATAGATTTATGAAGTAGTGTCCTGAAATGTTGTATTATTAAAAAAAAAAAAAAAAAGTTAAAATATATACATAGCCAAAGAAAGGTCATAGTTTCACTTATGCTCTAAGCAATCTCTGCTGCTAAAGGAAAGGAAGCTATTCTTCCCCTTCTCATTTGTCACTATCTCCTAGGTCTAGAAACTCCTTGGGAATTGCCTCTGCCGCAAAGCTATTTTCTCCCCTCCTCAAACACACACGAACACATGCAGATGCTTCCTCCTCCCGTAGCACTGCACTACGGTGAGGAAGCCCCGGGCATCTTGCTATTGTTTGAACAAATCACCTCCAGTTCAACCACGAGTGCTCTGCACCTTCTTGCAATATTTTACTAATAATGAAGTATACTTTTCTTCTTATTGCTAGAAAATAAATCCATTTCAATTGAAGCCTCTCCAGGAAGTGTTAACAACTTCCTCTCGTATATTTGAATCTCTTTTTAAATTACATTTAAGAGAATTAAAAAGAAAGCTTTTTATCAAAGAGAGTACTTAAAGATTAAGATTTGACTAGAAATTATTAATATTAATTATATTTTTTTAAAAAAATCATCTCCAACGTAGGAAACCTTAGATATTTATTCACACTCTCATTACATAAGACAGCTCACTGAAGTATATACAGATATGCACATTATATATGAAGTACACAAATACCAGGCGAAGTGAAAATGAGACATGCATTCCTACGGCATTACACAGATCAAACTGCATTGTATAGTGCTGTTAAAGTAAATTGGATAATATTCTACAGGGATGTAGAAAATATCTGAGAATATATTAAAAAAAAGAGCAGAGGAGACAGAAGATAATCCTCAAAATCTGTAAATGGGAACATAAATGTCTACCCTATGCAATAAGAAAGTCCTTTTAATACAATCTGTCCAAGTATGGTAGAAAGCAGAAGAAACTATACGGCCAGGTAGCTGCTATCCCAGCTCTAATAAAAAAGAAAGCTTTCTTCTAAGGCTAAGACAAGACTCTGAACCGAAGGGGTGGTGTTGCCCCCACCCACGATCATAATTAGTACCCTGAAAAAGAAGGAAAAAAAGAAGAGAGAGAGATTTATTTAGAACAACTAGCAGTGACTCATTTAACCTCCAGATCCACTAGGATAGATAACTTCTAGGCAGAGAACTCTTCATGGAGTTTCCATGAGAACAGGGTGACATCATCATATTTTTCATGTCTTCTCTTAGGAAGCAGTCTACATTTATAATATGGAAACTACATGAAAAAACTATGAGTTAATAGCATAAGTTATTACTCAAATTTGTTCTAGCAAACAAGCTAGAAATATGTTCTTACCCTGCAACTCATTTATCCATCGTGGAAAAGAATTCCCATAGATGTTTGAATTACAGAAAGCTTAACCACAAAACCAAGAGATCGGACCTGAAGTAATTATTATAAATAATGAAGTAATATCAATTCAATATCAATTTCATGAAAAAATCAATTTCATGAAAAGCTCACTTTAGAGAAAATGATATTTTTTCCTATTCCTAAGTGACACTGAATGCAAGCGAAATGTGACAGTGGTAGCCACCTTCCTCCCGCTCCATCTCAGGAATCAACAGAAGGTCTCCAGTCCAGGAAAGATGGCCTGGCTATGTGTTTTGCAGAGCCTGATGTCATGATGTCACAGAATCACAGAATCACAGAATGCTGAAGGTTGGAAGGGACCTCTAGAGATCATCTAGTCCAACCCCCTGCACACGCAGGGTCACCTAGAATGTCACTCGCGATTCATTTATTTCTATTTGTAACTGGAAGCAACCATACATAACTACTTTTCATAGTGTTAATCAAGAGGTCTAAATTCCTATTTTGTGAACTAATATCCAACTACTACTCTGCAAGTAGGAATCAAGGAGTTGTTCAGCTGTAATCAGCAAGTTTTTATTAATAGTAGTTTAGTTTAATAGAGAAGAAATTTAAATGATAACTTTGTAATTTATCTTACTGTAGAAGAGGCATGCAAACACTAGGCAGTGATAAGCAGCAACAATCCACATCAACTGAATTTATTTATTTGTTTGTTTATTCTTACCCTCTTCTGCCTCATCCTCCTGGGATGACATTGGTCCTCCTCCACTTGTTGGGCTGGCCAGTTCTTCATCTCTGGCAGACTCTCTTTGTAGACTGACAACTTCATAAATTGCATCTCCAGCGCTTGTGTGGCTTTTCCCTTCAGACTAAACCAAAATACATATATACGTATTAGTTCTCCTCATTGGGGGAGGGTTCTAATGGTGCGCCAAAACCAAGGCAAAATACACATAAATCTCACATGAGGGACTGAACAAAAATTTCAGTAGGACTCCCTCGGATTTCTTTGCAATGTAGACCGGCAGCAGTATAAACTCTGCTTTTTTCAAGTTTTATATTGAGAAAATACAAATACAAGTGCACTATTTCCAAAGCTGCCTCTTAATCACCATCTTGAATACAGTTCAGAATCACCATTAATAAACAGTTTTCCTACTTAAACATAGCTGTAATGAGACAAAGTCAAAAAGATAAAGCAGCAAAAGACTCAAGGTGAAAAAAGGTTCACACCTTTTAAAAGCCTAGAACTGTGAAAAGCTCCTATAGTGGTTTATTTATAAAAGAACAGAAAAACTCATCTTTGTTACAAACAATGTAATATGCAATATATTTCTTTTCAATGCAGAAATCTACCGACTATACCTAGCTATAAAATACCTGTTTCAAGCCTAACATATATATATATGTATACATATGTCAATCTAGTAGTTAAATTAGCCTGAAAATTTGAGCATGGTATTTGTAATTATATGTATTTGAGCGCCGAACATTTTCAGTGGAAAGCGCTTTGCTCTGCAAAAGTAGTTTTTCCTCTCGGATCCATCTATATACGATTTCAATAATGTTCAGGGCCACCCAGCTAAAAAGTTGAGGGTGGGTGGAATTGTTTGCTTTCTATTGCTTTTACTTCTGCCTGTTAAAGAGTTTAGTCTAGGTCTTTTGTGTTCAGTGAATCCACTTGGACTTGCATATGGAAAAAGTAGCTACCATTTTTCAAATATTTGAAACATTGTTACAAGTTTTAAACCAAACCAAGTATTTGTTTTTCCTCTGATTTACAGTTCTGAATTCAAAATTATAATTCAGTGAATTGCTGTGATTAATATACTCATATGGAATTGTATAAAACTGCAAACTAATAATTGCATTAAACAAACTAGAACAAGTCCAAACCTTTTGGCTACTTTTATCCTTTGTACATTTTGCCCAAGTAGTTAAAATAAGGCATTTTTGGAGCATACTAAAAACATCAAATTAAGCATAAGAAAAAGAGACAAAAGAAAATTTTCTTTAGGATATATTCAGAGTTTCAACTAAATGAAAGAGAAATACCTTCCCCACCTCCTGCAAAAGGATGAAATTTAAAAGAAAGTTTACAGAAGAAGTAACAAAAGTTTGATGGCAGAAATTGTGCCAGAAAAGAAACAAAGAACAACAACAAAAAAACAGAATGTTCTTTCCGTTGGAAGACTGTGTGACACCTTTTGCGGGAGAGATACATAAACTGTCAGGCAGCACTTGCAATTTCAACAAGCTGTTGAAATTCTTCATTTGGGTAGTTTAAATACGGGCTGCTTCAACTGACATAATATAAATCATTTTATACTGAGCAATTCTTTCTGTTGCAATTTAAAGAGATTAATCACTCAGTTCTGCTTCCCTTCAGGCTGATGCTCCACAGGAGAAGAGAGTCATGTGCCTCCACTTAGCAGCCAGTTTTGCCAACTTAACTTCTGAAGTTCCTGATGAACTTCAGGGAGAAGGTATAACCCCCCTGCATTTTGTAACATTTAGCAGGATGATGTTAGAGCTATTATCTCTGTTTTATTCTCCCAGAACACCATTATCAAGTAATTACAAAGCTCTTGACTAAATCAATCAAACGTTGATGTCACTAATATTATTAATCACTGCTATCCTTTTGAGGTGAAAGAGGCATGAGCAGCAGTACAGATTTTCCTGTGACTTACAAGAATTACAAAGTCTGCAGTTCCTCAGGCTGGTTCTGGTTAACATCCATCTTTACTGAATGGAAATAACCCAACTTACTAATGCCTGAGCTGGCTGTCTACAAGAATGTGCCTTTACCAGGAACATGTTCTGACCAGGAGGGTATTTACAATCAATGGGGTGATAAATGCACGGCCACCCTAAAACACCACATGGCAAGCTGCACTTGTGTCGTTCCTCACATCTGACCATGCTTCACCAACCAGGGTTCAGACTATTCAATCTATATGAATCTTTCCTCACCACAATGGTGATTTTTTTTCAGCTGATAAGGGAAGGTCCCGTCCACTCCTTGTAAGGAAATATAATTTTATTGCCTCCTCCTCTTTTAGCATCAGCAAAGGATACTTCTTTTCCGGAACCGTTATCTTGCTCAGAGTGCCCTGATCAGAGGTATCATGCCAAAACATCTGCATGGTAGAGCTTGAAACTGTGCCTAACACATACATTAAATCTTACTCACAGACCAGCATGCTGTATTTGCACAATGACTGCAAACCTCATCCCCACAATTTTGCATCATTAGGCAAACTACAGCACAAGATCCTTTGTCCTGTGTAGAGGAGCCATCTATCTCTCAAGCTCAGACTTTTGAAATCAATCTACTTTTAGGTCCCCAGAAGCCACTCAACTGCTTTCCCCTTAAGTTCCTAAGTGGTCAATCCCAATGTCAACTACAAAGTTGTTGTCCAAGGAATAAGGGTATCCTGAGACACCACCTCTTTCAGAGGCAACATCAGGAACATCTGCTATCTGTACTAATTGTCCAGTTGATAACTGGCTGAATAAAGAACTAACGCAAGTCTACAGAGAGGCCTACAGGGACATCCTCCTATCCATAATGTGTGCCTAATCTCATAGAAAAGTTACTATGATTAAGTGTTCCTTTTCTAAAAAATCTGCAAAACAGCTCCTTGGAATTTTACAGTAGGTGCAAAACAGCTCCTTGGAATTTTACAGTAGGAAGAAGTGCTTGCATGCATTTCTTTGGAGAGATGAGGTGCATATATGTCAGTCGTTGCATTATAAAGGACAAAAAGGAAAAAGAAAGCATCCATATTATTTCAAATTTTAAAAGGCGTAATCATAAGTTGTTTAAAAGAAAGCTTCACTGATTTAAGGATGAAATAATCGAAAATATACTCTGTTCAACTACACTTTTTTCAAATGTACTGTTCAAATTTACAAATGTAGCTATTCTCTATATCTGCATATGATAGCAGTTGGTTTTCTCAGATTTTCTCAAATTTCAAGTTACTATGTAAAGTGCTAGAACTTCAGAAACATTTTTGCATAAGATTTACTTACTTGGATGTTAAATATAACGGCCCTTTTGCCATGTATCATGAGCATCATTTTGGTATTTTTTTTTTTTCAGATTCAGTGTAACCCTCAGGATAACAGCCCACAAGATAACAATTAAATATTTAGAGTCTGTAAAATTAAATCAATCTTCTTTGACTTTGTTAAGCAAAGAGAATAGCTCACTGTATTGCAAAGTCAGCCTATACTATTCATTTTTTGCACCAGAACTACAGGATAAGTCTGATAATCTGCAATATTTCAGGGGAAATAATTTGCTAGAATACTTCAGTCTTCACTGGTATTAAAATACTTCATGAGGTTACGAACACTGACATAAAATTACACAAACAGTTCTAATTTAGCAAATAATTCCCTTACCATCACTTTTCATAAAGTTCTGGGGCAGAGAAGGAAAGCTGATTAAATGAAGCAGGACAGGAATTTACTGTCAGCAACCACCAACATGAAAATGTGGGAAATACATTTTCAGAAGAAATAACTCGTCTGAATTTCTCTTTTTGAAAACATTAAGAAAACTAACTTCTCAGATACTTTGAAATAACCGTAGTGACAGTCTGACTCTTAAACAATTGCAAAAGGCTTTTTTGCCTTGAATTGATTACGTCCTTCCAGCAATCTATTCTCAAATTGTTAAGCCTTTCGACCTCAGGACTGAGAATTTCCTTTTGTTAAATATAAACTGGTTTTACAATGAACAAAGACCCATTTCCTGATTTTACCAGTCAAATGGACTTGTTTTGGATTGCATGAAGTTATAAATTCTTACAGTGATAAGTAAAGAAAAAAAATTGTCTATAGAAACAAATGGCTGCAACTCATTCTAATTCACAGGTTACAGAGGCAACGATTCTTTTTACATACGCTACTTAAACACTACCCATCCAAACATTACAGAGGTAATCGGTTTTAAAAAAAAAAAAAAAAAAAAGTAATGCTCAGGATTCTTGTTACTTTTACGGACTCAAATTAATATAGACAGAGTACTCTCAGCAATTAAAACAACTAAAATAATAAAACAAGCAAACAAAACCACCCATGATACCTGTTTGAGCTTCATGTAAAAAGTTTCTGTGAAGGTTTTTCTGCTGAAATACCAGAAACGTTCATTAGCAGGATACACACGCACAAGTGTCTCCAGCAAAAAACGGACCGGCTCTACAACTTCAGTAACAACCATATCCACTGCAACAGTCATGAATACACGTTTGTCTAAAACACAAAAATAAGTCACATACAGAAAAAGAGCAGTCAACACATTTCTCAAAAGGATAAGTAGAAATTACAGAAATAAACTCTGGTTGAAACTGAGACCTATTAATTTATTGATTTTCTTGCAAGCATTTTACTTGTCTGAGTTCTATATTCTACATGTCTGCATAGATATGAGTATGCATTAATTGATACTCCAAGCAACTCCGGTAACTTTCTAAAACAAAGTGAACCTGTAGGAACAAAAGCCAAATGTCACACAGATAAAACAGCATGATTCTTATCACAAAAAGATAATTGTACAGAAAAAGGGAGCATTTTAAAGATACAAACCTCACATTTGAGGAAATAGATATGTATAACAATTCCGCAACAAGTGTCTCCCACATCATTGCCAGCCCTAAATCCTCTCAGAACCATAAGAAACACTTTGGACCATTTTAATATTCATGTCCATATTCTGCCAGGTAGAAGGACTCAAAATTCTTTAACCCACCCTGTCCCACACTCTAGGTCAGACAGAGCAGTAAAACACGGAGCAGCAATCCTAATCTATAATAGCTCCACCTTTCTGGCACTGAGGCATAACTCAAACTTTCTCAAGTAGTGGAGAATGCAGGATCAGATGACCAGAAGATCCCACTCAAATAGCCCAAGAGCATCCTGCAAGTTTACAGTGCAAAAAAGGAATCCTGCTTCCAGAAGCACTTACCAGTGGGAGGTAGTAACCACCACTTTGCATCACGGTTGCTGTCCTTCTTGCAAGAAGCACAGCTTTTTAAAATAAACATTTAGAAACAGCTAAGCTCTCTTGTCCGATCAGACCACAGAGGAAAGTGGTCATTTAAAGAAAAATATACACACAAAAAGACCAAGCTCTATCCTTAATCGTAAAGTGGGTCAGACTGTACAGCAAGAGTTTTGCCTACACGCTACAAGGCAAGAAGAGATTTGAAAATTCAACAGCAAAACCAACGACAACGACACATACTTGGATGCGTCTTTAAGTAGCCTCTGCCTTGAAACAGGAAACCAACTCCAGCTTTGCATGTCAACCTGACATCATGACTACATACTCGAGCACCTCAATGCACAACTTCCATCAACTCCAAACTGAAGGGTAAGTAGTGCTATTTGTACACAATTCACTTCAAAGTTTAAGGAAAGGTAACAGCAATGCCCAGGATTTATACTGCTCTCCTGAGTATAAAAAGTGAAAAACACTTTCTTAGAACCAATAATATTGATGACTGAGGGCCACACATGTAAACCCTAAATACTAATCTACTGGGACCAAATCAGTAAGACGTACGCCACTGAACAATTATTCACATTGCATATGCAAGTTCTGATCCTAGCCAAAGACTGTTGGGCTATAATACTCTATGTTCTCAGATATACACACCATGATCCCCAGAGCAACATAAACGCATCAAACCTATGCCAGGTTAAGACAAATTTACAGACAACTTTAAGTTACCTTTAGGAGTTTCCTCATTAAGTACTACAAACGTTGGCACATTAGGATTCCACATTCCAGTAATTACATAAGCCTTCCCATCAGAACTCTTT